TCTAGGGGAGTGGAGAATGCTGACATGATTTAAGCGCCTACTGTGCGCCGGGCCCTTTCCCAGAACTCCCTGGCCATTCAAGCCAGAGGGCAGCATCTCCTCACTTCAGAGGTGAGGCTGCTGAGGCCCCTGAAGGCACTCCGCCAGTCTGCAGCAGAGCCAAGCTTCCCTATTCCAGCACCAAATTCGGCCTCCTCCCCGAGTGCTCTGCGTTCCTTGGCCCTAAGGATCACAGGGACAGAGGAGGGTGGCCAGAGGGGTCCTCAGTTCCTCTCCCCCCCTTTTGGCCAAGATCCAAGCAATTGCCTGTGGCAAACATCATTGCTGGGGCTTGGCACATGGGGTCTAATAACCACAGGGTTTAGGGGCTCCCAGGACTGAGGGGCGTGTGGCCCCTACAAGATCCTGAACCTTCTGGCTGAGATGAGCACATCAGAACCAGAGAGCTGAAGGACCCACAGCAGGAGGGAATGTCCGTGTGGAGAGACGGGGGACAAAGGGACTTTGCTGCATCTGCCTGGAATTGCTTTCTCATCACCCGCATCTTCAGCCTCACCTCTGGCAGGTACTGGGTGCCTGCTGTGGGCATGTCACGTGGTTCTTTCATCCTCAAAGCCTGAAATTAACCCTTTGGAAACGTTATCATCCCCACTCTATAGCTAAGGAAACTGAGGCCCAGTGAGAACAGCAACTGAATTCCAGGGATGTCCTCACCGGGTGGGTTCTGAATCCCAGCGCAGGCTGACTCCTGAGCTCTGCACTTACTCCCTCTACTAACAGGAACTGGTAGTCCTTGGGCAGTTTCTGTGGGATCAGTCTTCTATGTGGATTGTTTCATAGCTGCAGGCCCATCCTCTGAGGTAGGGACCTGTGTGATCCCCATTTTGCAGGTGAGGAAACTGAGGCAGCTCAGAAAGGTGAAGGGCCTTGGCCAAGGTCACAGAATCCACATTTCCTGGGCTCAAGTTGAGGTTTATCTGAATCCCAGCTTGAAGAGAGAATCCCTCAAGCCTGCCCCATCCAAACCCCTCATCTTATGGCTGGTGAAATGGAGACCCAAAGGGGAGTGGAGGCTCGCCCAGACCCCACAGTGGTCATCGGCAGCAACAGGACACAGGTCTCCATGGAGTCCCTCACATATAGTTTCCATTTTACAGATGGGGCAATTGAGGCGTGGAAAAATAAATGTCACAGAGAAGGCTAAAGGAAGAGTCAGGGTGGTAAACCCAACTTAAGCGCACAGAGATTCCTGAGGTCTCCTCCCCTCCCTGCCAGATCCCCCAAGACCTGTTTGGAGGCAGGGCTCTTGGCTTCATCCAGCTTGACCCTGGGCCCGTCTCTCTACAAGTTCAGATTTTCTGCCATTCCCGCCCTGAGCCTTTGCCCCTGGCCTGTGCGGTGCTCTGCCTCACCTGTGTTGATAAGCTGGGGGGGTCTCGGCCAAGGGCAGTGTGAAATTGCTGCTGTATGCCTTAAACTTATAATACAGTGCTGCATGTCAATTAACTCTCAATAAAACTGGAAGAAATAAATTGCAACTTGGGAGACACAGATTTGGGTAAAACTGAGTGTTTCAAGGATGGGAGTCAGGCGCTTATAAAGACAAAAAGCGAAGAGGCTGTCAAAAGTCTCCTGATGAGGAGTGTGACTGACATTGACGTGAGCCAGTCATGAGACACGTGTCCTTAAGGAATCACAGGTTATTTTAGGGTAGGGGCTCAGTAAGTAGCTGAAGTTTCTGGCAGGTGTTCAGGATGACTTCATTAGGGCAATAAATGCTCACAGGGCCGGATTCTCTGTGGGCTGAGATGTGCATAAGTCACACCTCCTTAGTGAGCCCTCTCGAGCAATGCAGACTCCATTTTTATTTTTCTTTCACAAAGGCAGTCTTCTGCTGCCAGCAGTGACCCCAGCTCAGCCTGGAGGACATTCAGGCGAGCTTCAGCTCACTGGCTAGTGCTGTAGGAATAGCAGAGTTTGCATCAATCTCTTCCCTGTAGGCGAGGCAGCGCCCACACCAGCTGTGAATGAGCACAGCTACCTTCCCTACCTGTTAGGCAGACAGCCCAGCAGGTAAATGTTTACTGTTTATCTTGTAGATCGGATACTTTTCTTCAAAATCTCCACATATTCTTCACATGCTTTCAAAACCAGATCTGGACTTAAGACTTGACTCGTCCATCGAGCCTACGAGAGAGTCTGTAGGACTTAGATTCAAGTTCAATAGTAGCTGGAAAGAAAATGAAAGAATTAGATTCTTTACTTAAAATACTTCATACGTAACTAAATGTCAGCTTATTTTTTAAGAAAAGCTGAGACTCTTCTAAATTTTAACAAGAATGAAAAATACCTACATACGATTACAATACAAAATACAAGATTACTACTCTACACTTTGCCCAGGGCTGCACGTTGAATTAACTGCTCTTGTGGCTAAGGATCAGAGCGCCTGGTTTTCTCATTCTTCATTCATTTACTCAGCAACCATGTGCTAAAGCACTGTGACAAGCACTGGAACCACAAGATGAAGATGACAGAGTCCACCCTGAAAGATCTTGTACCGTAAACTGGAGAAACAGATGAACAGGCAGTTTCGGTACAGAGACATAAATGCCATGACAGGTATAAAAGAGGGCAGAGTTGGAACACTCAGAAGGGACGTCCAGCTTTCTGTCAATATTGTCCCCTCTTTGGTGGCCGTGATGTGTAAGCAGATACCTGAAGGGGGAGGAGAAAGTGTGGGAGGGAGAGGCAAGAAGCAAACACAAAGAGCAGAGGAAGGAAGGGCTCCCGCGGAGCTGGACACAGTCTGACCAGTCGCTGGAGCCAAGGGGCAGAGCAGGGGAGTAAAGAGATACGGCTGAAGACTCTGGCAAGAGCCAAATCGATGTGGGTACTTTTCTTCCAAGCTAAGGAATTTGGAATTTTTCCTGAGGGCACAATGTTATTAACCAGTGACAAAGTGAATGAAAGGAAATTAATTGTCATCCACCAGGGGACAGCTACATGAACTGTGATTGCTTGAGTCTGGGTTTTTGGCCTCAGTCACTACCGAACTCGAGAAGCTGATGACCTCCATGCTTTCTGAGAACAGGTCCGTGTGCAGGTGACAGGCCCACGGGGACAGCAGGAGAAGGGCACAGCCAGAAATAGAGAGAGAACACAGACTTCTTGATACTTTTTTAAAGCTATGGATCATGATGAATAAATGAGGAGTAAGTACATTTATCATTATGAATCAAATTACGCTTTCACATTTTTCATTACCTATGTGTAAGAAAAAACTTAACATAGTATCTCTTATTCAAACAATAGAAAGAGGTGCCATTTACAACATGTTTACAGTGTATTTCGGAAATCAATGTCTAAATTTAATTCAGAAATGTTGGCAACATACCTTCTTTTAATTCTCTATCTATATTATTCTCCAACTTCTTCCGCATCTGAAATAAGTCAAACATTATTTTTAATGTTTAAGTT